TGAGAGAGGAAGACAGCCACCTCCTGCCTGGAAGCAAAATGTCTTGCCTTTTCTTGGGATTAAAAAAAAAAGTGGCCTTTTCCCCATCCATGACTTCTTCAAAAACAGGAAACATTTTCCTCTTCCCCCTGCCACAGCCTCTCCCGTGGCATCTGGATCTTAACTACCCCGAGACTTGATTCTCCCCTGATGGGCTTTTGGCCATCTCCTAGGGTTTGTGGGGCTTGGCTTCCTTCCTCTTTCTAGCCCAGGATAGCTCCTTGCTCCCGGCTCAGTTGGAGGGGTCGATTCCTGCGAGGCATTGGTTTCTTTGGTAGAGGAGAAACCATCCTGGTTGTTTTGTTCCCTTTCTTTCCAAGCACCAGCCACCCTTGCCTCAGGATCTGCTTCCTCAGGGAAGGTATGGGTTGATGTGAGAGAAGGGGCTGGAGCATATTCAGCTTGAGTACCAGCCTCTTGAGCCAGACAAGCTCCAGCCTTGTTTGAGCTTTCCCTCAAGAGTAAGGAGAGAGATCACAGATCTAAGAGGTGTGGTGGACCTGCCCTCTCCAAGCTGACTCCTTCTCCTGATCAAAGAAAGGAGGTGCAAAGAAATCAGCCAAAACAGTATCCTTGGAAGGCCAGGAGAGAAACTGACCCGTGGGTTGGTGGACACATCCTCTCGTGCTCTCTCCCTCCCATACTGGATTGGTTTCTCCCCTACCTCCCTGGGAGATGGTGCTTTACTGAACCCCAAAGAAGTCTTGTCTGGGCTGCAGGTGGGGTGTGTGACCTTTCCCATCCCCTGGGGAGCAGCTTCGCCAAGAGTCAAGGACCTTAATGATGACTCAAAGAGACTAGAACAAGGATTTCTTTTTCTCCTTTAGGAGTGAAAGAAATATTTCCTGGTCTCTTCTTCCGTTGATGGCTAGAAACAAAGAGAAAAGGCATTGCTAGAAAATCCTAAATGTCCACTCTTTCTCTGCCTATATAAAGCCTTGTCCCAGGCTAGCACTTAGGCACCAGAGGACCTTTTGTCTCCCAAGAATGGAGGCCTCTTCTCTGCCTCCCAAGAATGGAGGCCTCTTCTCTGCCTCCCTTCAAGCTCCTTTCCTTGGGAAACGTCAGATGTGTGTCGAGTTGGCCATGCCATGTTACAGAACACAAGGAAAGTCTTAGGTTAGGAGCTTCTTTGCAGTTCCAGAGGCAGGGCGGTGGTCTATTCTGGGGCCCGGCTGGGAGTGGGGGGTGGGGGGGGAGGTGCTCTGGAAAAGGACCCAGCTCCTTGGATGCCTGTGCATCTGACAGGAATGAACTTTACTGTGGGATCGTGGCCAAGACTCAGTTTCCCCTCTGGGCCTTGGCCTTTTAATTCTGTAAAATGTTGTGTTGGATTTTATCTTTAAGACCCCTTTAGCTCTAATTCTATGTTACCACCATCTTGTCTCCGTGGACTAATTGGAGAAAATAGGCAGGGTAAAGAAAGGGGAGAAACTTCCACCTCATTTGTGGTCTCTTTCAAGAACTTTAAAGCAAGATGGAGAGATTATAAATCATAGACTATAGCACCTCTAACACATGTAGTCTTGGATGAGGTATAAGGCTCAGACACCTGAACTCCCCTAGGCTTCCTTATATCCTATCACATAGGCACACACACACACACCCAGTTGTGATGTGCATAAGACCAACCACAAGCTACTCAAGCAAGGGAGGGACAGCAACCCCCATTCCTTCCCCTGCACCCCGTTATTAGAACTTCTACCCAGCAGGCAGCCTCTGCCTGTTCTGGTTCTACTGACCACATATTCTAAATCACAGGCCATCACACAACTGCCTTCTTGCACAACAGGGTTACTTGCCTGCCTGGAGCCCCCAACACATCAACAGTCCAGGGGGCCTGAATTCGGCAGCTTCAGAGGTGCACATACACTGCTTCCAAGGGCACAGAACAAAGGTCATCTGGGGCCCCAGGCCAGGGTGAAGCTCTCTCTGGGCACTGTATGCTTCTGCCCAGAGTTGGATGACCTTTACAGACTAGGCAGCTCTAACACCCCTGGGGCCAGTCATTAGGACCACTTCCCAGAGCAGCGGGTCACTTGCCTCCAACCTCTGTCTGGCCATCAGAAATGATGGCAACAGTATAATGGGCACATCGCCTGGGGAGGGTAATTTGGCAATAAATTTTAAATTGCAAATACATGTACCTCATGATACAGCAATTTTGTCTTTAGGAATGTATTCTACAAATTCAGTCACACACATGTGAAATGACATGTTTCAAGTGACTCACTGCAACATCATCTATTAGTAGAGATTGCAAGTAAATCAGATGTCCACTAGCAGCCAACTGGCTTCATAGAGTTTGGTATAGCCATGCAATGGAATATTAGAAATGGGACGTTATTGCGTATTGGTATGGAAGGATTACAGATATACGTTATTAAGTGAAAATAAGCACGGTGCAGAACAGTGGGCATATTCCACTATCATCTGTGTAGAAAGGAGAGGACAAAAGCACATATATTCATATTGACTTGTTTACATATAACATATCGCTGGAAGAAAAAACAAGAGACTAAGGGTGATTACTCCTAAGGGAGTTGAAAACCCCTTGATGAAGGCAACTTTCTATCCCGTGCATTTGGAATATTTTGATGGTTGAATAATGTGAATGCATTACCTATTCAAAAGATTAAGTGAAAAAACACAAAAGCTGGGAAAAGAGAGAACAAAGTGGCAAAGGGGGGAGCCCTTCTCCCTGTCAGCCTCTTGGGCAGGGGGAGGCCAGACTAGGAATGGGAGCGGGACCGGGCGAGCAGAGACAAGCACGCCAGGTGCTTAAGCATTGCTCTGCTTGCTCATAAAAGCCTTCACTAACTGGGGCCTGGAATTCCTCTGCTCACACTCTCCTTCAGTTATTGGCCTAATCAGACCCAACCTCAAGCATACTCATGTGGCTTGGGAAATCTTGTCTTTTTTGAAAATGTAAGCATTTTTAGACACTTGGTCAGAATACGAGGTCACCCCCTAAAGCAATGACATCCTTTGAAGTTGCTTGACTTCCTTGCCCACTTACCTCACCCAGCCCCCCAACTCTGACGTCCTGGAGAAAAAATTGCTGAATGACATGTATTTGTTTTAGAGATTGCTCTTTAAGAATCTTATGATATCCCTTTGAGATAACTGGCAACACTGGCAAGCCCGTGTTGCAAAACCCAACTTGGGAGTGATTGCTTTGATGACCAGCAAGAGGCCACAGCCAAGACTCAAGGCCAAGTGGGGCCTACACCACTCGGGCAGGACTGGGGGTGGGGGGGCAAAGGCTAGGCTCTTGACCTCCGCCCACTGGGCAGCTCCGTGGATCCAAAGACCTGCTTGGGGGTACTGCATGTGTGTGGAAGGCATTGGTTTGGGGGCCACGGACAAACCCTGCTTGTGGGTGAGCTGCTGGGTCCCTGGGAGACAAAATTGGTTCTTTCTCCTCAGGGATAATTGTAGGTCCTCCCGTCTCCTCCCAACCCCTGGCTCAGCCTCCCAGAGGGATTGCTTCGACCAGTGACTATACAACGTTCTTTTGAAATATAGAGCTGTTCAAATGAGACATATGAGGGTATGGCCCTGGAGGCATTTTCCATGATAATTTTTCCCCTTTTGTCCCATTGTTACAGGCGAGGAAGGAAGACAGCTCCAGGATCAGGTTTTCTGATAGGACTTAATAAAGGTATTATGTCTTCCTGCCTCTCACCTTGAACCCAGGGGCTTCTTTTCCAGCCTCACCTGCCCACACCCTGCTTGACAAGAACTGGCTTTGAGATTGGGAGAGCTTGGCTGGCAGAAGCAGCCTGAAGTCTGGGGGAGAGAAAGAGCTTTGGGCTTGTCAGGTGAGGGAGCCTCTGATGGGGCTGTAGGAGAAACTTCAAGAGGCCTTATGATACTAGGCCTATCCTTTCACACACTAGAAGATGCAACATGTGAATTCCCCAGCTGAATGTCTTCTAATTTTTGAAAGTTCATGAATAAAACCTTCCAAGGAAGTAGAGTGAACATTTTACTATTGGGAGGGTAGTGATGGAAGATTTGTGGGTAGCTGGGGGGGGTGATGGTGGACAGGCCTCATGCCTTAACCTCAAACCCATTTGTTCACTTTCAACATGTCTTTAAAGAATTTTAAAATGTAAAATATTAAAGAATTTTGAAATTTAAAAATTTTAAAGAATTTTAAAAGAACGGACCCATCTAGAAATTTCCTAGGTGGAAAGGTGTGTGGAAGGGGCAATGTGCAATGGGGAAGATGGAGAAATCGAAACTCTCAGCATCCCAGACTACATGAAACCAAATCAAAATTTAAATCAGTAGGCAATGCTAAAGATTCTTGGAAAAAGTCGAATTTCTCCAGTAACTGAAAAGAGCAGGAACAACAAAAAGACAACCGAAAACTGGAGGAGCAGGGAGGGTAAATGAAATAGAAGAAGGGAAAGGGCACAAATTTCATCAGAATGAGGTCTTGGGAGAAGAGAGAAGACACTGGCTGACCTCTTTTACTTACAATATTTTAGAGAAGGACACTCAGGTAGATGAGGTGGTACCGTGGATCATTTTGCTTGCCCTGGGAGGGTTACCTTTTCCTCGAACAAGGTAAGGTGGTGGTGGGGGAGTGTGTGCGGGGCGTGGTCTTCATTAGTCTTCCGCTAGCGTTGCTGCTGGATCTTCCCGGGGAATTGGTGCAGAGTTCCAAGAAATCAGTGCCGACGGAGTGCTGCGCTGAGTGGGTGCAGTGGTTATAGCAGGAGTGGGCACAACGGCGCAGAGAAGTCCCGGTGTCCGTACTCCAGATATATTTAAAGGAAAACTCAGACATCCATCTCTCTTCCCCCCCCTCCCTCCAATTCCCTTCCTGACGCCCGGGCGTCAAGACTATTGGCCGCTGCCCCTTTAAGGGCCTCCACTCCTCCCCCCCTACACGCCCCCCCAAGCGGTGGCACCAAGCGGGTTGGGGGTGGGGGGGAGGCTGAGCGTTCTCGGCCGGTCAACTAGGGAAGATGGCCCAGGCCGAGGAAATCGCTCCCACGCCCCGTTGTCCCCTCCCCTGAGCAGGGGGGAAGGGACCCATCTAGAAGGGAGACCCCCTCTCTCTTTCCCTCCCGCCCCACGCGCGCCGCGGGAATGGCTCCGTGGCCTCACGGGAACAGCTCTCTGGCCTCGTGGCCGGCTGCCCCCACCCCGACGCCCAGTACTGCCAACACGAGTGGGCTGCCAGGGGTGCCGTGGGCGGTGGCCTTGGCGGGGGCGCTGTTGGCGCTGGAGGTGCTGGTCACCGTGGGAGGCAACCTGCTGGTAATCGTGGCCATCGCTCGGACACCGAGACTCCAGACCATGACCAACGTGTTCGTGACTTCGCTGGCCACAGCAGACCTGGTGGTGGGACTGCTGGTAGTGCCGCCGGGGGCCACCTTGGCGCTGACTGGCCACTGGCCGCTGGGAGCCACTGGTTGCGAGCTGTGGACCTCAGTGGACGTGCTGTGTGTGACAGCCAGCATCGAAACCCTGTGCGCCCTGGCCGTGGACCGCTACCTGGCAGTGACCAACCCGCTGCGCTACGGCGCGCTGGTCACCAAACGGCGCGCCCGGGCGGCAGTGGTGCTGGTGTGGGTCGTGTCCGCCGCGGTGTCGTTTGCGCCCATCATGAGCAAATGGTGGCGCGCGGGAGCCGACGCCGAGGCGCAGCGTTGCCACTCCAACCCGCACTGCTGCGCCTTCGCCGCCAACGTAGCCTACGCGCTGCTCTCCTCCTCCGTCTCCTTCTACCTCCCGCTTCTGGTGATGTTCTTCGTCTACGCGCGCGTTTTCCTCGTGGCCACGCGCCAACTGCGCCTGCTGCGCCGGGAGCTGGGCCGCTTCCCGCGGGAGGAGTCCCCGCCGACTGCGTCTCGCTCTCTGTCCCCCGCCCCGGCCGGGCCGTGCGCTTCGCCCGCAGGGGTGCCCTCTTACGGTCGGCGGCCCGAGCGCCTTCTGCCTCTGCGGGAACACCGGGCCCTGCGCACCTTGGGTCTCATCATGGGCACCTTCACTCTCTGCTGGTTGCCCTTCTTTGTGGCCAACGTGATGCGCGCTCTCGGCGGCCCCTCTCTGGTTCCCAGCCCGGCTTTCCTGGCCCTTAACTGGCTGGGCTATGCCAACTCCGCCTTTAACCCGCTCATCTACTGCCGCAGCTCCGACTTTCGCAGCGCCTTCCGCCGCCTCCTGTGCCGCTGCCGGCGGGAGGAGCACCGCGCCGCCGCCTCCCGGCCTGGCGACCTCTCGGGCGCCCCTGCGGCCCTGACGGGCCCCGCGGAGTCCAGGCGGCGCCCACCGCTCGACGGGTAGGTAACCGAGGCGAGGAGGCCGGCGGCTCAGGATCAGGAAGCATTCGGTGTCTCGTTTGGTCATTTCGAGTTTGGGGTTCGGTAGGATAAGGTGGGGTTGGAGAGGTCTCTGCAGCGAAAGAAGGGGGGACATGGAGTAGGGAACCAAAATGGAACCCAGGACCCTTTCTTCTCCCGCATCCGAGCCACCTGCCCCAGGGTTGAAGCAAAGGAGGACAGAGGATTGTCCTTCACCCCAGGACCCACCCAGTATCCTGAGCCTGCCTGGTCAGCTCTAGATTTTCTAGCTCCGTTCTTTGGCCCCCCAGATTTCTTGCCACCACTTGGGCTGGCTTTGACTTGCAGAGAAGACTAGAGGCCTTCCCAAACTCTCGGCCTCAGCTTTGGTTTCTTTGAAAAGTTTGACAGCTACGGAGTGATAGTGAGAATCCCCTTGGGTATGAAGGATAAACGGGAGTGGGGGGACCCGTGAGTGTCAGTTCTCCCTGGAAGGAGCAGGGCTGGGTTGGAGTTGGGGGTGGGTGTTTTGTGGCTGGGTGGAGCCCGAATGCTTTTTTGTGTGATTACATACATACGCTTTCTAGGGTCCCTGACTTTTAGTCCTTTCCTCTAGTGCCCCTGTTCCCACCCTGTGCCCCTCACCCCAAGATATGTTATCTACGTTTTTCAGGGCTTCCTGGGGAATTTCTTAAGTCCTGAACGACAAGAAAGAACTCTGTTGATCCAGAAATTTTGGAAAGCCTCCAGTCCCTGTTTAGAATGAGCCCTGTGGAGTTTCCCAGCTGGAAATCTTTGACCTCCAGAAACTGATGACTTGGCCTCGGGATAGGGAGGGGGGCCACTTGGGGAGGGGAAATCCTTACCAAGTGGGTTTTCACCATCCTCTTGTCTCTCTCTTTCTGAGAGTTTTCTAAACCCCACCCCCGAACTTCACCACTACCTCAGCGGCCGAAGTATCCAGCGGCCTGAGCTCAGCTGCCTCAAGCAGCGGGACGATCACCTCGCTCGTTTCTGAGCTGTGTGCTTAGGGCAAAGGGAGCACTCCTCCTTCCATTCCTTCTGCCGCCTGCACCTGATAGACCACGCAGTGCTCTTCAGGCCCGGTGGCCTAGGCTGGGAGCGGAAAGCTAGAAAAGGTCCAGGTTTGGAGTTTTGTCCCCAACTCCATCAGTACGGATTTCTAAGCACCAGCCTCCCCCACTTTGGACACAGGGCAGCTCTGATCTACCTCACAGCAGTGTCAGAAGGACTTCTTCAGGGTTTTGGGGGGCTGGAGGGTGAACCATTAGAATGGATTCCTTCTTTTCCTTTAAACATCAGATTAATAAATAGTACTGAATGCAGTTCATCCCTTGCCTTCTTTTCTCCATTTCTTTCCCCTATAATCCACTTACTCCCTTCTTAGAGCTGGCTTTTGAGCAACGCAATAAATTAGGACTAATCCTTGCCCCTTTCTTCCTCATCGTCATTAAACAAAAGATGAAAATTCTGTTTGGGTGAAGGGGAGTGAGCTTAAGCCTTTGCCACTCCTGCATCCCCATCTTTCCGAAATTCATGGAATCCAGTTGTAAGTGGGTAGCAAAGCCAAGCTGCGCAAAGGACTTGAGTGCAGTGCTCATGGGAGAACACAGTTTGCTGTGCTCAGGAGCAGGGTCTATGGGGTATACGTCAGCTCCCATGCTATAAGCCAGTGGTGCATTCGTAAGACCCCATTGCCACTGGGAACGAGTTTTGCCTAGTGTTGTGTGTGTGTGTGTGTGTGTGTGTGTGTGTGTGTCTGGAGGCACAGGGCATTGTTGGTGTTGGGCAAATGTCTTTGGTTATAAATATATTCTGATGTTTCCCATCCTTTCCACAACCTCTCCCTTTCCGGTGCTGCAGAAATCAGTGTTATCCTTTTGCAGTAAAACTGGAGTTACAAGTTTGAATTAGTTGATAATTTTTCCCCCCTTATTCCAATTCTTAAGAACCTTATCAGGCAGTTTCCTATGGAAAGAAAATTGCTGTGGAAATCGCTGAATCATTTTGTGAGTTCTTATTTAAACTCCGTAAGCAGAGACCGTCGTCCAGGCTGATTGATGGGATGGTTAGTAAGTCATCAAATGTTTAATGTGCTGTGTTACAGTAAGGTACGATGCACCGGCTGGGTTCAGGGGCTCCAGAGTTACAAAGCCTCGATCTGCCCTGAGGCTAAGCTCAGTGGATTTCCACATATGGGTGTTCCCTGTGAATTGGACCCAGGCTCTGCTGCTCCCTTTTCTCCAGGAGTCCAGGTTTTATTTCTTAGGATGTTTGCATGCCAAAGATGACTTTCTCCTTCTCAATCCAGAGCTGTGTGAGATCTCTGGAGTCTGAGGTGTGGGAGGTTTCTTGGCAGGGACTCAACTTTTGAATGCTTAGTGGAGAAGGCAGTCTTGCTTTGGCCTGGGAAGAAGTACGAGGGCCTCCTCTCTCCATCTCTGGATATTTTTCCAACATCACTGAGGAAAGTTGTCCAGTCAGTTCT